TTTATAGCTTCATCTTTCTGTGTTTTCGCTGTTATTTCATTCACACACTTCCATAGACTTAATGAGCTATCTTTATTTTTTGAAATTTCGTTCGGATAGTATTTTTTTGCCTCTTTCATTATATCATTCAATTTGTTCATGTATTTTTTATAATTTTGTATATTTTCATCAGCTGGGAATTTCATTTTTATTGCATATAATTCATGCTTAAGGTTAACTGATTTCAAGATGCCATCTGTCATCCATTTTTTTTTCCTAAATTGAGAATTTTTTATTTTGATATTCGTTGTACTTTCTTTTATGTGTTTTTTTATTGTGTCTATAAATATGTTGGTGGCAGTATTAATGTCACTGCATAGATACACTTCTGAGAAATGTTCTCTTTTCATAATATCAACCAATTTATTTTCATTAATGTATTTCCGTATTTATTTTTCATTTCAGATGATTTGAGTCTAAAACCTCAAGCGAAGTGGTCCGTTATACTGGTTTGTAGAATGATTGGTAATATATCAATGACGTTTCTGTCATACTTAATGAATATAATATGATCTGTGCAGGTTTTTGAATCTCCTTATATTCTTGTAGCTACATTTATTACGGAAGCATAATTGTACTCACTCAAAATATTGACATAATCATTCTTTATCTTCATTATCATCACCCAAGATATTTAGATTCATGTCCCCAGTTACAATTTGTGTATCAGCTTATGCAAAAACATTAATCTTCAAGTTCTTATCTAAAGTTGTTCACCTCGAGAGCTCAGCCTTGTTGTACACGTTTTGCATTCTTTATCTTCATTATCATCACCCAAGATATTTAGATTCATGTCCCCAGTTACAATTTGTGTATCAGCTTTTGGACAATTTTTGAGGTACTCCCAGTTTTTCAATGAAAGATTTATATTTGTTGAAGGTGGTCTGTATAGAGCTAGAACTGATAATTGTTTGTTATTTAATTTCGATATTATTTCAATTCCCGTTATTTCTCCCAATTCAATCGTTCTGGATATAAAATCAATGTTTTTTCGAACATATATAATAACTCTATATTATATTTTTGTTCAAGCTTCGAATGTTCATATGAAATAATTTGAAATTTTGGTGAGTTCCACATTTGAAGAGTTTGTTTATTTGATGTATATTTTCAGCTGTGACAGTATCAATTTTATTGATTTGAGAGTCTCTGAGATATTTGTCCATGACTGTACTTATATTTATCCTAATTTAAACATAGCAGAAGAACAGAAAAGAAATGTTTAGTAAAAATAAGTGATCCAAAAAAAATTTCCTTAAAAACGTATGATAATTTTTAGTTGAGATATAAAAAAACAACCCATTTTAAAATTTGTTCAGCGCGGAAGATAGTTTGAAAATTTGGTATTTTGTTTCTTACGTATTGCACTAAAACAGTCGTTTATTTGTTCAATTTCCTGTTCCTTTCGTTGAATGATTCCTTAATTTTTCTTTGACTGAGGATGGTTTCACGTTGATGTTTTCTTGTCTATGGTTTTTTTTTGTTTTGGAGGTGTCTTGTTTCGATGTAAGCTTCTCAGTACCGAGCGAAGGGATTATTTTTGTTTGTTCTTTTGGTACTATTTCATATATGTTGCTACGGTCCACTACCGGTGTCTGTGGTGCACTGTTTGCTCTTTTATCAGGCTCCTCTTCTTCTTTTACTTGCAGTTCCAATTCTTCGATGGTATATCCAATATTGTTCACGAAAAGTTTATTTCCCTTTATGTAGGCCGTGTTTCTTGGAGTTTCCCTGGCTCTGCTTAGATATTTCCGCAATATTTTGTTCTCCTCTCTCTGCATGTATGCAGAGAGTTCTCAAATATCAATTTCTTTTTTATTTGGGATACCAACTCTATCAGTGGGCTTTCAATCTTTCGACCAAGAGGATATAGGTCTTTTATGTCACTTTCAGTTGGTTCTATTTCAAAAAGGTTTTGTATATATTTACAGATGTTTTCGGGTATTATTTCGTTATATGGTTTTTTTAGCCCGAAGATCAAAAAGTTATTCTTTTTAGAGTTTCTCTCCAGTAGTTCAACTTTCAGTTTGAGTTTTTCGTTCTCTTTCTCCAGTTCAGATACTTTTTTGTTCAGTGTCTCCAGATCAAGTCTTACTCTAGTTCCACTAGCTTGAATTGCATTTCTCAATTCATTTTTGCTCTGCACTATCTCATTGAAAATTTGCTGCGTTGTTATTTCTCCATTTCCTAACATTGTAAGTAATATTTTTCGAATATGTTATTCTTGTGCAAAGAACTTTCGGGTTCACACCAGGACTAAGAATTTCGAGCTGGGTGCATCCAATAATGCTCTTGTAATCACTCTATCTACGGATTTTCCTGTTTAAGTTTGTCTCTTAGGCAACGGCACACACAGATCAAAAACACAGCCTTATTGCCACTACTTTTATACTATCAAAGAGCGCGAGCATAGCAACGTCCGTTCTCGTTCAATACACAATACTCAATTCTCAAAATATACAAAAACTTTCCGAGTGTAGTCGTCAATTAATGTGGAAAAATATTTGGCTCCTCCCAAAGATTCATTTTCTGTTGGACCAGATAAATCGGAGTGAATTAGTTCTAACACTTGATTTGCGCTAGTGCCAATATGGTTGAATGGGAGCCTACCATTGTTGCCTTTCAAGCACGGAATACAATTCTAACAATTTTCTTGTTTGACGAACTGAAATACCTTCAACAATTCCATTTTCCATGTTATTCAGATCTTTCATATTTATATGACCGAGTCTGCGATGCCAAAGGTAACTGTCGCCCTCTGTAGACGCAATTAAAATTTTATTTGTACATTCAGTCTCAACATCCAGTATATACATTCCATTCATATATGATGCTGTTGCTATGATTTCACTATTATCGACAATTTCACAGTTCTCTTTATTAAATGTCACATGAAAACCATTTTGTACAATTCGACTGACAGCCAACAAATTTGTTGTCAGATCAGGAACAAGCGATACATTTCTTAAAGTTGAGTTTTTTATTATACCTTTTACTTCGATCTCAGAATTACTAGAAATCGAGATAAAGTTGAAATATATCTAGACTAGGAAACATACATTAAAACTTTATTGGAAACGTTCAACATGGCAGATTGCAAACCCGCTCTGACTCCATTCCAATTCCTGCTCTCTCATGGTCACGGACTATACAGAGAAAGGAATCCGGTTTCCTGACGACTTTACAGGCTATATCCAGTACCATTCTGTCATGTAGCCACTCCAAACTCAAAAGTCCACGGCCTATCTGTTGTCGGGAAAGTACAACCATGGAACGGACGATTTGGGATGCAAACAACTTTAGAGATGCATCATTTTTCTAGTCTTTACGTTGAGTTGATACAGCTCCTCCCGAGTCCACTTCACTACTTCAAACGAGTAGAGTAGAGTGAGATTGGAACGGCAAGCATATTTGTTGCAGCAACTTTGTTCTTCCCCGACAGTTCCGATGACCAGATCTGTCGAAGTTTGTGTTGATACTTGACGCGGAGAGAGTTCTTCACTGCTGTTACCTCTTGTGAGTGGCGTTGTTTCACCCCGAGGAAGTATACGTCTCTCGCATCCAAATAGTATAGGATGCTTCCATCTACGAGCTGCACATACTCTCCGTAGTCCCCGCATACTCCTCTTTTGAGATGGATCATTGCATATATGTCTATCGTAAACAACTTATAACACAAATTCAAGCATGTTATCGGTCTGTTGTTCTAAGGAATCGACAAATCTCCGCTTTTGGGGATGAGAACGGTCCACCCCTCGACAAACCAATCCGAAATCGGCTGCTCTCCGTCCAGTCATGAGTTGAACACTCTGGCCAGATGGCGGTGGATGCTTGTTAGTTTTTCCAGTAATGAGTGTTCAGCCCATCTGTGCCTGGAGCAGCAAAGTTCTTGGAACCCATAAGGGCTCTTCGAACGTCATCAGGGGTTATCAGGTTGCGCAGTTCATTGAGCTCAGGCTGTCAAAGTTCTCTGTTGAACGCTTAGAACTGCGGTAGGGCTGGAGTGTCTAAGTTGATAAGTTGAGTGGCTGCGGGTGTTCATAGATATCCTTCCAGAAGGATTCCACCCCATCAGCGGTCGGCGGATCGTCCACAACACGTGGAGGCTCTTGGAATAAGCGAGAAGGTTTCTCGCGGAACCTAAGACTTCCCACGATACTTCTCGCTCGCCTCACTAGTGACTTCTTAGCAGCCACTAGCATTCGTATCCTATCAGGGCAGTGCTGTTTGGTGGTCAGCAGCATGCCTTGACTCAAAGTGGATGGATACGTCGTAATTTGGCGGCTATTCGCCAAACTGCAGGGGTGAAAGGCCTGGATACGAGACGCGTGTTGTCTCGCCGACGTGATCTTAGCCTCCATCTTGTGTACACGCCGTTCAATCTTCCGATTCGGAAAGCGATTGGACGACGCTATTCACGGCGGTGTTGATTTGCTAGATATCAGCCTCTTCTGTTAGAACAGTATGAACCTACGCATCCACACAAGCCAATTCTTGTGGCTTCAAGGGCCTAATTCTGATTGACTCCATTGGTGGCGAGTATCCTCTCCAGCCATGCCAACTGGTGGGACAACTGTTACTTGTACCACTACGATTTTGGGGGCCACTTCCTCGATTATTGGGAACCTAGTGTTGGGTCCACCAGGTGGTTAGCCCTGTGGGCCCACGGCCGGCACCGAAGGGAGGATAGGGTTCTCCTTCCCGGGTGCGCTTGGGCTACCAGTCCCGTTTTTCACCAGTTGCTCGGGTAAGTGGTGGCGCAACTCACTAAAGGCCAAGGGTGTTTGTAGCCATCCCTGCTTATTTGTTTCTCATCTATAGATACTT